ATGGGAATTGCAGGAGGTTCGTGCCAATGGTCCGCATTAGCTGCCTTGGCAGCCCCCCTGGAGCCGGAGGAACAGTCGTTTCAGTGTGTGCTCTCCATGGGCCCAAGCAGTTGGGTTCCAGGCCTGGGACTGGAGCCCCTCGGCATTGGCACGCTACAAACAACGAGCCGTGGAGAGTCGCCAGTCCATTCTCTCTTTGCCTGTTCGCAAACCCACCAATAATTTTGTCTTTTATTTGCATGAAGAGAGCGCTGCATCAACAAAATACACAGTTGTTGCCGTATATCGGTGAGAGCATGTAAACATTACCAAAATGTTTTTATTTTCTAAAGGTAGCGCGGGGAAGGGATTGCTGGCCATTGCCATCAGCAGTGTTGGGTAGCTGTACTTTTGCATGAGGCCGGCACGGAGGTAAGCTTAATAAGCAAAAATTCTAAATTTTCAGGATCTGTTTCAATAATCGTCTTCTATATTCCCCCTGTTCCTAAATTCGTAGTTACGTGTGGTGTATCAGTGTGTGGATGTGCAGGGAGGGAAGCGTTGGACAGGCCTCCACCCCAGGATGGCTCAGCTCACCTGCAGAACCCAGATGATGAGGACTTGGAAGGCTTTTCGAAGGCTTTTCAAAGTCTTTACGTTTTAAACCATGTGTCTGCAACTGGCTCTGCATTGTAGAGGTTAAATGCGGACGCGATGCTTGGAGGTCAGAGCCGTGCGCTGGCTCCCGGCACCTGCACCTCTGGTGAACTTTCAGAAGGTGCTGCCTTTTGTCTCCGCTCGGGTTCTCCATCTGGAAGGAGGTCCTGTGTGTGTTTCACCACAGAGCTTCATCCTACAGCTTGCGATAAGACAACGTGGTTGATAGCAAATCGCTAGTCTTAGCATTTTACTGTTTTTTTTGAACAGCTTACGTTGTGTGGTCGAACTATTAAAATAATTGATAAACTGATAAAATAGTTATAAAAGCTCATAGCATTCAAATACTGAGATTTGATTGCTCTGTTCAAATTGGAGCTAAATTCCTGCTCTCCCACAGTTACGTGCGTTCATGGTTAATAATTCACAGCTTGTCATGGCTCTCTACGTCATTTCATATACGAAAGAAATAAAAACGTTTGCGCCCGTGGAAAACAGTTTGCTCTGGAGCTTTGCCTCGGCCACAGCAAAATGTAAAATAATGCAGTCGTTGCGGAGGTGGGTCGCATTGCCATACATATTAAAAGAGGCCGCTTTTGATCAGCTCCTTTGAATGCCTGGTATAACTCCATTTATCTGCGGATCTCAGGGGACACCCAAAACCTTCAGATAAATGGGGGCTGAGTTAATCAGGGAAGCCAGCTGTCCAGCTTCTTCGCTGGGGTAGGGTTCAAGATCATAACCCGTCCTCTCCGCAGCCAGGCCGGCTTCAGAAAACGATTTGCATGCTCCGCTTCAGCAGCCCAGCCCCGAGGCTTCTGCAGAAAAGGCGGCCAGGCACACCAGGCTTCCTCCTGGCCCTGCTCGGCCTGGAGCCCCGCGGCGCGCCGGGAGCGGGGGCTTGCTCGTGTCTGCGTCGCGTTTTCTAAAAAGCAGCAGTTTATACGGCAGCCTGCGCATATTGGCTCGACCTGAATAAGCTCGGCCTTCGTGGGCATCTTTGTGTCGGATGCGCTGGGCCGAAAGCTCGCGGGAGAGGGATGACACAACGTTCACGTTAAAAAGGTTCAGCGCGAGGTGCTAGCACGTGTCAGAAAGCACATCGCATCGCGGGCTCCTGGGGATGAGGGCACAGCCCGTTCAGCTGCGGTTCTGACGGGTCAGGCATGGCACTAGGGACTATCGGGATGAAAGCGTTCTTGCATGGTGATAAACATGAAGCTTCTTGGGGCTGGAATTGAAAATTGCTGTTTCAGGCTGCTCCCGTACAAACGGTCTTGAAACCCCGAGTCCCCTCCTCTGCCCCCCCCCAACCCCATGTACGGTGCTTTGGCTGTGGTGCGTCCCCTCGGATCCCCCAAATACATTACTTGGGACTCCAGGGTGTCTGACGGGGACGAGCGTAGCGATGCCTACGGGAGATTCTGGCAGAAGCACGATTAAGTAGCAAAACGTTGGTGGTGTTTGCGTACGAGCAGCGCAACCTGCGGAAGCCGCAGAGCGCCGCTTTGGCGTGAGAGATCGGGCAGTGTCGGCGGTGTCGTGCTGCGTTCCCAGCCTGTGTTTGCAGGCTGGAGGGGTCTTTCAGAGGGCTCTTTACAGCTTGGTTATTATGTTCCTAACCCCTCCATTAAAGCTCCTAAACTTCGGCAAAAATTTAATTGACTTTTTTTTTTTTTTTTTGATGAAGCCAAACCGTTCTCCCTGATGTATTAGAACAGAGACAGCAGAGAGTTTCGTTTAACTCTCCTGCAGTGGCTTAATGCGTTCCAGATCAGGCTGTACGGGAAGATTAGCAGGAGCACCTCGCCGCTGCCCGTACGGCGGAGCCGCTGTGCTGTGGGCTGCCCCCGGAGCCGGGCTTTGGGGAGCCTGGGGGAGGCACCAGGAGCGCGCCGAGCGCGGGGGGGTGCTGAAGGGGGGCCGGTTCACGCAGCGATCCTCCTCGCCGAGGCTCTGGCGGCGGCACCTCCTGCTTTCAGCATTCTAACCTGCAAAGAGCGGCACGGCGTCGGGATATCCTCGTACGCCGCTGGGTCTGCGCAGCGCTCTGCACCGCGGCTTGCGCTCGGCTCAGTGGGTTTTTTCAGGTGCCTCTCCCGTAGCTGCCCAGCTGTTTGGCCGAGTGGGTTTTTTCCAGCCTTTTGTGTGGCATGGGGCACCTTCCACCTCACAAATACAGACTTTGCGAGGTGTAAAGCGAACCGAGCCCGAATCGCCTCGCTCGCTTTTCCCCTGCAATATTTAGCAAAACCGGTACAAACTGCTGGTGTGTTAGCGGTTGTTCTGCGCATTGTATGCGTATGTGCTGGATGTGCGGGGTCTTTCATTAAACAGCAGGATGTTATTAGGCATAGCATGAAAAGCCTTTATAGTCTCCCTGCCTTGTTTAAAGCAGGCCCACAAGCAGACCGCAGCCGAAAAGGCTGCGCAATGAATCGAGCGCTGATGGCCGGGCCGCAGGCTCAGGTGGTCGTCAGCCGCAAGTTTAGCCGAGCCCTTTCAGTAATTTGTCACGCCTGGGTCTGTTCCCGCTGCGCCAGCACGTGCCGGCTCCGTGT